GAACAGCATCGCTCTGTCACTGAGTTCTGACAGAAATACCTCCTTCGTGGCCTTTCTTCTTTCATCCGTCACTTCCCTGCGAATGCTTGCTATTCTCCATCTCATGACTTTTTTGTTTTAACATAGCATTTATTGATGTGTGTTACTTTTGTGCATATTTACTTATTTATTTGCCATCTGCCTCTCTTTCTTATCACCACCATCTAGTTCTCTACTAGAATATTAGCTTTATGAAGTCAGGGGACTTTGTTTCCCTGGGATCTTATCCTTTCTATACACATGTGTTTTCAGCTCCTGGGAGAATGCCTGGCTTTGGGGAAACTTCCAATGAGTAGTTGTGAAATATGTGAGTAAACTTCTCTACAGCCCTGCCTTCAAGAACAGAAGTGAGAATAGGAGCATCTCCATATAATTTATTTTCCACACTATCACTTTTGACAATGAAAGTATACACCAGTTTGTGTCAGGATGATAGGTATAAACTTTATAAATTTTGGTTGAATAAAGAAAGAAAATGGAATACATATACCTTTAGAATCCTGGAGGGTTTGCCAAATATCAGGATTATGGAATATTTTTTTAAAAGACACTATTACATCTTAATTTAGGAGATCAAAGCATCTAAAAGTCAAGAAAGGATTCTCAAGAAGTTATCCTAGCAGACCCTTAGATGCTAGCTAGAAATGATTTGTAACTAGTGCTATATTTATATGCCAGTAGAAACTATCACGTGACTTACAAGTGCTTTATGCAATTCATTCTGTGCCTGAGTTCACACAGAGACTTTCCTTAGGGAACTTTTGATTGTTTATTACTCTAAAGATTAGAAAAGATGAATTTAAGTTCAAACTCTAATTGCCTAGAAATCTCCAATAGTGGGATTCAGACCTGGAGAGGACTTCCCCTTGTTTGTTTTTGTTTTTCTTCTAGGCTAACAAAGTCTGATGAGTCCACAGTACTAACAGAACTCCTTAAAATCAAAATAATATTTTATGGTACCAAACTTACAATTTGGGGTCCTATTTTCAAAAGTTGTGTATCAGCATAACATGAAAATCTGTCATGTTTCACTGACTTTGTACAGTGGCAGAATTAAGATTTGGGGACAAAAATAATAATAAATAGATCTGTCTCCTTGCATCAAACACATTCTGGACTAATGATACCTAAGACTTACGATGTCAGTTAGAGAGAGAGGAAGATAACCACTAGCAGGGTTTGACTTCCTTTGGGCTTGTGATCCAGTCTGCAAGCTCTTCCCCTTCCAGCTTTTTTCCCCCTGTGGTCCAGAACCCGCGTGTGTACTCAATCACATAGTCGTGTCCAACTCTTTGTGATTCCATGGACTGTGGCCCTCCAAGTTCCTCTGTCCATGGGATTCTCTTGTCAAGAATACTGGAGGGGGTTGCCACGCCCTTCTCAAGGGGATCTTCCTGACCCAGGGATCAAGCCCACGTCCCCTGCATCTCCTGCACTGGAAGGTGGATACTTTACCACTGCACCACCTGGGAAGCCCACGGAATCGCATGGGCAATGACGAATGTTAGCAGAGCTTCCCCTGATGTGCATGTAGTGTGTTTGCTGGGAACTAGAGGGGTTCACCCATGAAGAACTCAAACGAGATTACTGACTCCTTAGACAGATATGAAAATTGATCCAATTTATACATATTAAAGTTGTAGTGAGTGATAGTGGGGGTAACAGTGAGATATTCCATGGGAGGCAAAAGGTAAGGAAGCAGACACTCAAGATTATGAATGAAATATACTACGTTGCAGCAGAGAGATCCAACATGATAACGGAGGGTGGTGGGAGCAGAGAGACAGGCACCGTGAGATGCTACAGGTCCTGTGGTCTGTGCTCACCATAAGGACTTCATCCTTTCTCTGCTTTTTTATGCTACGCTTTACCACTCTGAGAGTCACGCCTCCTGGCAGAGGCCCATGAGCATAAGACTACAAGGCTCCTGGCTGTGGGATAATCAGGGTGGATCACCCTGGACAGGGTAGCAACCAGTTATTCACATCGCTAATGCAAATAATTAGTGCGGTGTCAGTGCATTCATTTCCACATATTATTACTGATTTGCTTGCTGTCTGTTGTCCCTCAACTAGATTGTAGATATTAGGGGATCATGGGAATAAGGAAATTGTCTTTTTTCCCCTCACTGCTTTACATCCAACTCATTGTACTATGAATGGCACATTAGAATTTATTTAATGGATAAATGACTCAAGTCAGTAGAAAAACAATTATTCAGATTTGCATGTTCAAAACATTGCTTAGGTTGTGATTTTAATGTATGGACTTTGAGTGGGGTGAAGGATGAGATGTGAGAGTAGATGATGAGAGAAACTGAGTCTGGGGGATAATCTTTACACAATCAGAGGGAGTCTCTGCTAAAACTCTTTACTGCTGGTGGGTAGGAAGGTGGAGATGAAAATTAACACACAATAGACACCCATGCTGTGTCAGGTACTGTACTCTATGGCTACATATACTTCATAGCACTTAATTCTCAAGTCCTAAACAAAGCCTTTAATGTGCATGAATTCCATTTGAGAGATGAAGCAGCTGAGACTCAGAGTAAGTCATTTGCCTAAAAAGCTACAATTCAAACCTGGATTTACCCAATCTTAAAGTGGATGCCAAACTGGAAACTACACCATGCTGCCAATCAGAATAATTGAGAAAAGAGTTTAGGTCAATCACTGAAATCTTGGTCGTAAGATTTACCACTTGGTTTCCTGATGTGCTTCTACAGGCTCTCAGATGTGCAGGAAATGGCATGTTGTTATCACCAGACATCGTGAGCCTCATATTTTCATTTCGAGTGATGCTCTTTGGGGAAGTAAACTTCATTTCCTTAGCTATGTTTTCCTACTATACATCCTGAGTACTGCTGTCAGCTCTGTTCTCTCCGGGCTCTGAGAGCTGAGTTCACAGAGGAGTCCCTCTTCCGTGCTGTAGCTGCCTCAGTTCCTCAGACAATCCCAGCTAAGGCAGAGAAGTACTAATAGTCCCAGCATATTCATTTGTGAGTAGCTTAGAGATGAGCCCATATCCCAGTGCCAGTGGTCCAGTCACAGAGCGTCTAAAAAATTCCTTCCAACTGTCTTTGGTGATCAGGTCCAGGGTTTTTAAGCCCATCTACCTACCAGATTCCATGATTTCTGCAACATGCAGTTCTTCCTTCCCCTCTACGTTGTGATTACCTATATAGCAGGATTTTCCCTAGGTCCCTACTTCAAACTTCTGTCATTTACCTTAGATAAACTGTAGCTCTTTTTCTGGCACCAGAAACCTATCCTAAACCGGAGCTCTGCGCTTTCCTGGTACACTCTCCTTGTTCTCTTTACATGCGCATATGTCTTGGTCCCTACTTCAGCCTAATGGCTCAAGTGCCATCCATGTTGCCATTTACCTAGCTCCGGAGCACCAGTCGCCTTCTGCACTCCCTGCCATTGTGCATTACTTGCCTGGGAACTTTGGTGTTAATTTCTATTTGTTCAGCAAATGTTTCTCCTCCCTTTCCTTCACAGGAACTGTTTCCTCCATAATACTGTTGCTAAGAAATGACTGGTCATCCAGAAACTACGTTTCCTGCTCTGCTATCTTGCACTGAACTGGAGAAATGGGGCCAAATATTATTCAGTAAAATAAAGATAGTAGAGATGTATACAACTTCTGCCCTGGTCCATAAAAACCTCCACAGGACCAGTTTGATATCACCTTCCAGAAAAACTTGATTATGTTAAAGTGGTAGGGCCTCCATCAACCTGTGTTCTTGATGGACTCTGTGAAGCAGAAACTAACCCTCCCTTTATGTGAGTGAAAAATTAGTCTCTAACCTATGATACTAGGGGCTTCCCTGGTAGCTCAGCTGGTAAAGAATCTGCCTGCAATGCAGGAGACACTGGTTCAATTCCTGGGTCACGAAGAGTCCCTGGAGAAGGGATACGCTCCCTACTCCAGTTCTGGGCTTCCCTGGTGGCTCAGCTGGTAAAGCATCCGCCTGCAATGTGGGAGACCAGGGTTCGGTTCCTGGGTTGGGAAGATCTCTTGGAGGAGAACATAGCAACCCACTCTAGTATTCTTGCCTGGAGAATCCCCATGGACAGAGGAGCCTGGGGGGCTACAGTCCATGGGGTCACAAGGAGTTGGACACGGCTGAGCGACTAAGCACAGCACAGTATGGTACAAAGCCACTGTTCTTAGGGGTTTACCTGAAACAGGAGCCTGTTTGACTTACTGAACACACACGTCTTCCAAAAACCGTGGAGGCCAACATTTTTTGAGTTGGCTGAACTTAGGACCTTCAGAATAAACACCATCTCACAGGGCCAGCGCCCCCTCTGGTGTCTGCCACTGTTACCAGGCCAGTTCTTCACCCTCTGCCTTGTACTACTCAGCCATAAAAAAGAACAAAATAATGCCACATGCAGCAACATGGATACAACTTGAGATTATCATACTAAGTGAAGTAAATGAGAAAGAGGAAGACAAATACCATATGATATCACTTGTATATGGAATCTAAAATATGACACAAATGAACTTAGAGATCAGATTTGTGGTTGCCAAGGGGGAGGGAGTTTGGGAGGGAAGGGGTGGGAGTTTGGGATCAGCAGAGATAAACTATTATATATAGAATGCATAAGCAACAATGTACTACTGTATAGCACAGGGAGCTATATTCAATATCCCATGATAAGCCACAATGGAAAAGAATATTAAAAAAAATAATGTCCATATGTGTATAACTGAGTTGCCTTGCTATATAGCAGACATTGACACAGCACTGTAAGTGAAGGGTACCTCAATAAATAAAATACAATAGAACAAAAGGACTGTTAAGAAGTCAGGCTCTCTTCCTCTGCTCCCCTGGGTCAGCCTCATGTGGCCAACATGCCTTACACCCATTTATCCAGCTATGGCATACAAAGAGATACTTAAAAACTGAACTGTTTCACGGAAACCAACAGAGGAAAGCCACATACCTCTGAGGCCACAAGTCTGTGAGCACTCTGTCCAAGCTGTCCATCCCGAGAGCTGACAGTTGACCACACACTCCACCAGGCAGTGACGGTTCATCCTCTGCGGCTTCTCCAAGTTACGCTGCAGACGGGAAGGAAATATGATTGCACTGGAGAATTCATTGCAACATCAAATCAAATCACTATCCCTTTGTGGGATAATAATCTCTATTCTGTGAGAATAATTTTGCTATGTTTTTGTAAGAAAAATAGCCTGGCTTATAGAAACTGATGGCAAGTCTAAAAAAATGATGATCCTTACTTCATGACATAGAAACTTGTCAGTCCAAATTTCTTTTGATAAAACCTTCAACTTTAGAATAGACCCACATTTAAGGGACCAGGAGAGCAGGCAATTATGTTACACAGAGATCTGTCCTGTCACTCAGCCAGCAAGGAACCAGAGGGATGCCTCAGTGCTAAATTCAGGCATCTTGCCCTCTGCATAGACCAGCAGTAAATAGAGAGCTCGAACTAATAGCAACCTAGGCTAAGTAATAAGTAGAAGAATAAAACTGAAATCAACAGCCCATCTAAAGTTCACAGAAAGACTGACTAGCTAAAAACATCAAAGGAAAAGTTAATGATACCAGTTCTTTTCCTCTTGTCCTCTCTTAAACCCACATCTAGGCAAAATCACACATTTTCTAATGGCCAGTGTAGAAGAGGTCTTAGTGAAAGAGTAAATCATCCAAGAGACACAGAAAGAATACCAAAATATTCAGTTTTAGGCATTGCACATTGTGTGATTGAGGAAAATGCTAACATTCCACATATGGTAAACGTTAGCAATGTCCATACTGAGCTAAAATTATTGATTACAGCATGATCACTTACTACATGGGCAAACTAGAAATGACCACATAAGATCTTTGATCCATCTGAGATATGTGGGTATTCTGCTTAGGTTAATAATTTGGGACTTTAAATATTTGTTGAACATGTGGTATTTGGAAAGAAGAGAAACTAATTTTTCTATCAATGAATAGTTTATACTGCTTTTATATCAAAAGGAAAGATTTACTATGTACACTAAATGTACATTTTCGACTTATTTGAGTTGTTGTAGGTTGGTGATTTATTTTTCTTGAAGCAGACAACAGTCTTGATAGGGAGATGAAACAAAATGTTAAAATAAATCACTGACACTTGTTAGAGAGAATTCTGTATTAACCAGTCTCAGAATTTCATTAAAAGGAACATCTGATTTTACATGGTCTAGTTTTAGGGGTACTGTTGGTCCATGGTGATACTGTTGGTTGAAAGAGATATTATGGTAATACTTAATTATTAACTCAGTTAATAATTAACTGAGTTAAAAAGTTAACTCAGGATCGGTGAGGAGGTTTTGTTCTGATAATTTTAATTTTCACTTGTGGACTCTACTTACCTAAGGAGAATGAGACAACTTTTATTTTGCCAGTTTGCTAAAGACATTCCCGTGAAACCTGAGTTCACTGACCCCACACATTTCCAATTATTCCAAAGACTGTTTTAGTGATTCTTATAATGTGATAGCATATGGTCATCTTTGTTTCTAAACTGCCATCATAGTGCATTTCACTTGTATGTTGGGGAGGAAATGTCAACTTTTTGGGAAGAGATCTGATTATAGCTTTTGTCCAGATTCCACATATTTTGTGATGGGGAAAAATATAAAATTACTAAAATTCAAAACCCACCAACTCTACCCAACTTGATAGAGAGACATTTAGTTTATTTTAAAAAGAAAAATGCACTGTGTTTATTACCTCGCAAAAATTTGCTAAGCAAATTAGCAGAGTATTCTAACAGCAAGTATCACTGTGCATTTTACATGCAAGGGACAGTGTTTCCTACTTAGGCAAATTGAATCATCTGCCCCATACCAAGAATCGATTTTAGAGTCAATTGATGTCAATTGTTAGTTGGCAAGCAAGTACATCTAACTAAGTTCTTAGAAATAATGAAGAACTATATTTTTAATGAACCCATTTCTCCAATACAAAATGACCTTTCCTGTCATTTTAACTAAGTTCAAACTCGTGAGATGTAACTGTATAATACTAGTGCCTCTTACTCTAATTGAACCTAAGCTGTGATGAGAAGAAATTGGGAGGGTCATTTGTAGTGAGCACTGTGAAGGTTGCAGACCACTTTTAAAAAAATAAATAAATAAACAAAGCCATGGGTGTGGGGTACAAACACACACAACTTACCTGCTCGCATTCGTCCATGGCAACGGGTTTGCCATCACTGCGCACACAGCTCAGAAGGCGGGTCCTGATGCCTTGCCCACAGGTTGCATTTTCACTCAGCTGGCATATGCTCCACTCTACGAGCATAGGGTGGCCACACTGAGTTTCAAAGTTATGACCATGTGAGCAAAAGACAACAAACCTTTGATTCTCTGCATTGGTGGAGAATAGTGTACACAGAATCCTAAAACCATTTCTATGTGGCTTCATTAAGCATTAGGCAATTCTTTAATTACAAAATAATCAATCAGATCACCAAATAGAAGTGAATTTGCTTTCTTGAAGTCAGAAGCCAAATAGTTTATAGAAATCATCTCATAGTTGGCTGAGGTAGGAAAAGGAAAAAAAACTAAGCACAAAGGACAACCAGTTTGGAATCATCTATTTGCTGGGCGTAATTGAGAAAGAAAAGAAAATACAGAAATGATGCTAGTCTGTGATATCAACTTGAAGATATTTTCAATGAATAAATATAATTATTTAAACCATTTGGTATATTTGGTACAGTGGAGCCAAGAAAGGTAACCAAAAAGGGAAAGAAGTCATGATGAAAAGGGCCATTTTGAAAACTCTCACTTTAATAAAATTATTCTCTCATGAGAGAAGGTTTCGTAAATTTGGCTAACTGTGTTACAAACTCAATAGCAAGAGTTAGAATAAATCATCCCATAACTAATTCTTTTAAAACATTTTATTTTAGTGTGGGTAGAAAAAGAGATCCTCAATCATATACAGTGAGAAGCTCTCTAAGAAGATTTTTCATATTTGGTAGATGATCTAAAAGTTAAATAGGAAGAGCTAGTCCATGTATAGCAAAATCAGCATTTTAAAGACATGCTCTTTCAGTAAAGCAAATTTTGTTGTATTTTTGGAAAATTAGTATGAAAACTAATGATCTAAAGGACGTTTCATGAAAGAAAAAGGACAAATACAACAGGTCAACTCTCACCTATAAAGACAATCTCACAGAATTTACTAGAGGTTTTCTACATGAGAAATCTCAGTAGTGCCACTGTGACCTCCGTGGAAAATTTGTTTCAGAAAAAGGCAACTGTTTTGCCCCTTCAGGCAGCTGGCCACTTGGTTATCAGTACTGAAGCCAATGCTGAGACTTAGCCTGATTCTGCATTTCGTGGCATTCCGTGTATCACTGCTGCAGAGACAGATCAATGGAATTATACAGTCCTTTAGTTTCAGACACTGAAAACAGTGGTACGCTGTGTCTGAATAAGGGGGTCTCTAGAATATCCCTGTCCAGTCAGGTCTATCATTTATCCTTGGTGAGCCCCGTAGAGCAAGTACATCACAAGTTTTAGTTTCTTGAAGTAATGAAAACCATGAAAGAGCTGCATTCTAGGACAGCACGATTCCGTGGTTTGTGGTTTACAGCCATACCTGTTAGACTGTACTGGAACTGGAAGCAATTTTCATTGAGAAGGCAGGGCCGCACCTGTGAGTCTTCAGCACACGTCCTCGAGCTCACGGAGGGCCTCAGCAGGTGACGGGTTCTTCTCTGCGTCGTGTGAGGATCACAGGACTGTGAAAGTCAAAGAGCAGACAGAGTTAGAAAGGAACTCATATGTTTGTTGATAAACTGAATGTGCTTATCTGTATACATAGAGGCACATGTGCAACACCTACAGGGAAGAGACTATTGAAGACAGTATGAAACAGAATATTTAGAAAATAAAGTCATTATGGGATTCAATGTAAGTAGTTTCTGGTTTTTCTACCTGACAACTCTTTCTTGTTCTACATTATGATGAATAATTAGGCATGTGGGGACCATTTTCACCCACTGAACACACTCTGTACTCTCAAATCCATTTGCCATGTAGCAAGAGATGAATGCATTTTGAATGTATAAATGAATGAGAAAAGGAAGACAATGTCCCTTCTGCCTCCGGGTAGTCTAGCCCCAAAGAAATAACCACACAGAACACTTTAATGAGAAAATATTTTTTAAAAGCAGAACAAAGAGAGGGAATTATGAAATCAATATTGCCAATATAACAAAACTTTCCTCTTATTTTGGAGGCCCTCTCATCCATAGAAGATTAGTCACTTCATGCTGTTGCCCTTTCAGCAAAATAAATGTATAAATAGGATTCAAATAAATTCAAAAATATCCCACAAAAATCATTTTACTTATGGGTCTACATGTCCTCTTATCGCCTGAATTCATATGACATTCTTGAGCCAGGTAAACCTGCCTGCAACCTGTCATCCATCTACTCTACTCACAGCAGACCGTCAGAAGCTCTCCCTATTAGAATAATCTCCTTTCCCATGTCCTATATCCTATCCTCCTCCTACTTCTTCTTCAGAACACTAATCAAGACTTCATCATTCACAGTCTTTCTTTTAATAATGACAAGTTCTTCTCTTCCTTCCTAAGCAAACTTCCACCCATGTTCAAGAATTACTATACAGTATTTGATTCCAAACATAAATGTATATGTTACATCTGCCTTTATGTGATCATTCTTTGTTTCTTTATTATTCCATCTCCTCCTTTTCTTTATAAATTCTTTGAGGACATAACAGATCATGATTTCTACTTCCTGTGTCACTTGCTGAAAATTCTGGTATATATTTGACCCAGTGGTTGTTCAGGTAACACCATTATATGTGGTGAAGACAACATAATTCAGATCCAGAAATCTAGAGGCACATAGGTGTTTAAACCACAGGAAAGAGAAAAGTCTCTGAATTCATGTCATCAAACCATCACTGCCATATTTGGGACTTTTTAAACTTTTATTCCTTTACCTTTTCAGATACTATAGCAAGAACACAACCTGTAAACTTAATTTTGCCTGCTAAGCAAAATGATAATGTTACAATACACTGAAATACATAGAAAAATGCTACAAAATTCTCTTCTATTTTCAAATGTTTGGAGCCATTGAAACACATTTACTATTTATGTGACTTTATAGTTGGATAATCTGTCAATACTTATAAAGTATTTTTACATTTTAATTATATAAAATTGCCTCTAGATGATCAAGAAGGGCCATTGAAACCAGGTAATTATTCTTAATTATCTGCAAAGGAATCCCATGCTAATGCTTACAAATAATTTACTATTAATTCAGCAATTAATTTGATTGTTCTCATGAGAAGGAATGATAACTTAAATGATTTACCACTGAAAGAATAAGAAAGCATCTTAAAAGTTACTCCTGATTAGTGTTCTACTACTTTTCTACCTTATAAATTCAATGATTGAACAAGGTGAATGTGTGTAAGGATTTATGAACTTGCTTAGTCTAAAGCATGAAATAAAACAAAAGAGAAAATTACAAACATGAAAACATGCACACACAATTCAAATTATGTAACTTTGAACAGTTCACTTATATATTCTATATCTTAGTTCTTCATCTAGACCTGGGTGAGAAAGGGGCAGGGTCATAATTTGGTAGTCTTTAAGAGTTCAGTTCAGTTCAGTCACTCAGTCATGTCTGACTCTTTGTGACCCCATGAACCGCAGCATGCCAGGCCTCCCTATCCATCATCAACTACTGCAGTTTACTCAAACTCATGTTCATTGAGTCGGTGATGCCATCCAACCATCTCATCCTCTGTTGTCCCCTTCTCCTCCTGCCCTCAATCTTTCCCAGCATCAGGCTCTTTTCAAATGAGTCAGCTCTTCACATCAGGTGGCCAAAGTATTGGAGTTTCAGCTTCAGCATCAGTCCTTCCAATGAATATTCAGGACTGATTTCCTTTAGGATGGACTGGTTGGATCTCCTTGCAGTCCAAGGGACTCTCAAGAGTCTTCTCCAACACCACAGTTCAAAAGCATCAATTCTTCGGCGCTCAGCCTTCTTTATAGTCCAACTCTCACATCCATACATGACCACTGGGAAAACCATAGCCTTGACTAGATGGACCTTTGTTGGCAAAGTAACGTCTCTGCTTTTTAATATGCTGTCTAGGCTGGTCATAACTTTCCTTCCAAGGAGTGAAGTGAAGTCACTCAGTCATGTCCAACTCTTTGTGACCCCATGGACCGTAGCCTACCGGGCTCCTCCGTCCATGGGATTTTCCAGGCAAGAATACTGGAGTGGATTGCCATTTCCTTCTCCAGGAAATCTTCCTGACCCAGGGATTGAACCCAGGTCTCCTGCATTGTAGGCAGACACTTTACCATCTGAGCCACAGGGAAGTCAAGCGTCTTTTAATTTCATTGCTGCAATCACCATCTGCAGTGATTTTGGAGCCCAAAAAAATAAAGTCAGCCACTGTTTCCCCATCTATTTGCCATGAAGTGATGGGACTGGATGCCATGATGTTAGTTTTCTGAATGTTGAGCTTTAAGCAAACTTTTTCACTCTCCTCTTTCACTTTCATCAAGAGGCCCTTCAGTAGTTCTTCACTTTCTGCCATAAGGGTGGTGTCATCTGCATATCTGAGGTTATTGATATTTCTCCCGGCAATCTTGATTCCAGCTTGTGCTACTTCCAGCCCAGCATTTCTCATGATGTACTCTGCATATAAGTTAAATGAGCAGGGTGACAATATACAGCCTTGATGCACACCTTTTCCTATTTAGAACCAGTCTGTTGTTCCATGTCCAGTTCTAACTGTTGCTTCTTGACCTGCATACAGGTTTCTCAAAAGGCCAGTCAGGTGGTCTGGTATGCCCATCTCCTTCAGAATTTTCCACATTTTATTGTGATCTACACTGTCGAAGGCTTTGGCATAGTCAATAAAGCAGAAATAGATGTTTTTCTGGAACTCTTTTGCTTTTTCGATAATCCAGTGGATGTTGACAATTTGATCTCTTGTTCCTCTGCCTTTTCTAAAACCAGCTTGGACATCTGGAAGTTCACAGTTCAGGTATTGCTGAAGCCTGGCTTGGAGAATTTTAAGCATTATTTTACTAGCGTGTGAGATGAGTGCAATTGTGCGGTAGTTTGAACACTCTTTGGCAATGCCTTTCTTTGTGATTGGATGAAAACTGACCTTTTCCAGTCCTGTGACCACTGCTGAGTTTTCCAGATTTGCTGGCATATTGAGTGCAGCACTTTCACAGCATCATCTTTCAGGATTTGAAATAGCTCCACTGGAATTCCATCACCTCCACTAGTACCTTCCCTCATACCTCACACTCTTATCAGTCTCTATGTCTGCTACATATGCTTTTAAGATGATACTCTCTGATTATCATTATTAACCATATAGAGTTTAATGATCACTCTCTAGAAATTATTATACTGAAAACCAGCACTGTGGCTAACTCTCTCACTAACGCTATCCAGAGAAACAGGCAAAGAAGGTGAATGAAATCCACAAACACAATCCAACCTAATCTCAGATGGTATCTGTATATCCTACCTTATAAAAATTGCCCTAGCACTGCTAACAACTGAGATGAATTAGTTGTCTCCTCATTCTTTTCTCTCTGTTCGCTCTTTATAGGAAGTTCACAAAGTAATAACTAGGTCACAAGACAGATGGAGGTCGGCTAAGAAAAAAATGGATGACAAAGGAGCCTTATATCTAGATGATTTCTTTATTGGATCAAAACTCTTCAAACATAAACCTGAATCTCCTCTCCCCTAGAGTATTCATAAGAAGACACTGTCAACTTCCTAAATAGAGAAGTGAGAATGTCATGTGTGGATAACTAACCCCAAGTCAACTTAAAACCAGTCTCATTATAAAGGAAAAACTTAGATAGCTAAAGTTTATTTACTAGGGAAGGAGATGACCAATAAGAACCAGTAGTATCTGGTATATAAGTCCTTTTATGAGATTAGGTTTTTAAACTTTGAAAACTTACCTTAAACTTTAATCTTACATTATAATATTGCACCTTCAAACTTTTTTCTCTCTTAGCAGTGAGGCCTGTATCCCTGGGCCTGACCTGAATATTTGTATTCATCTGTCAAAATTAAATCAGATATCCCCTCTGAGAGCCTCTATTGATTTATTTGCACCCTTATAAGTAGAAGATGATGCTGAAGCTGAAACTCCAATACTTTGGCCCCCTGATGCGAAGAGCTGACTCATTTGAAAAGACCCTGATGCTGGGAAAGATTGAGGCAGGAGGAGAAGGGGATGACAGAGGATGAGATGGTTGCATGGCATCACTGACTCAATGGACATGGTTTTGGGTGAACTTCGGGAGTTTGTGATGGATAGGGAGGCCTGGCATGCTGTGGTTCATGGGGTCACAAAGAGTTGGACATGACTGAGTGAGTGAACTGAAGTGGAATCACCTTATCAAGTAAACATTTCCACTGTACTTGTATTGATATGTGTGCATTCCTTCCCATGGACTAGTTGGAGAATGTGTGTCTTAATTTTCTTGGACATTGAGAGCCTTGTTCTGTCTCTGACACAGTATGTAGATAATAAATGTTTGGTGTAGGATAATGTTTGGTTATCCTAAAAACTAAATAATGAATGTTTGGTGTAGGATAATTTGCTTCTTCCTGGGTAATAAGACTGGATTTTTGTAAGCTGCCTTAGCGACAAATGGTTAACCCTGGACAGTGATTACATTGCCTAAATATAAGG